TCAATGGATTTTTCTTTGCAGGCTGGATGCCAGGGGGCGCTGGACAATGCAAACCCCATGTCCTTCAGGCTGCTTGAACAGAACAAGGATGACCTTCATCAAACAGTGCAGATAAAGGGGCCTTCACCAGCTGGACTTTGGAGTAGGGAACACTGAGCTCTTAGGCAGGGTGAGCTGCAAACTGGCCAGGCACAGCCTGGGAAGGGAGATGGACCTTGGAACCCACCTGGGGGAGAGCTGGATGCAGGGATGTGTGTGAGCCTCTGGAAAAGGCAATAGCCCACCCTGTACCTCTGAGGACTGGCATCTCCAATTTGAGAGACGGTGGAGAGGGATTTTGTGAAATTATGGAATCATGGAATGGTTTGGATTGGAAGGGACCTAAAAGCCCATCCAGTTCCACCCCCTGCCATGAGCAGGGACACCTTCCACTATCTCAGGCTGCTCCAAGCCCTGTCCAACCTTGCCCTCTGCACTTCCAGAGATGGAACAGCCACAGCTTCTCTGGGTACCCTCTGCCAGGGCCTCACCACCCTCTCAGGGAAGAAGCTCCAAAGCAAAGAAAGCAATTTTGGGCAGAGCTCATCCAGCAGAAAGGAGACATCAGTCCTTGAGCTGCAGTCCAAGCAGGAAGGAACGTGTGGATGCTCCTGCGAGTTTCCCGCTCTGAGTGCATGACATGCAGTGTCTGAACATGTGTGTGCAGATGGCTTGGGGCTCTCCAGAGAGGATGTGGAGCACGGGGCCAGGGTACCACGTGGCCATGGTGTTCCCAATGTTGGATGGCAAAGCTCCAGGTGTTTGTTTGTCTCCAGCTCAGCTGCTCTCCCATGCTGGGAGCAGCACCACTGCAGAGGGGGATTTGTGCCTGGAGCTGTTTGGATGCTGCAGGTTCCATGGAGACCAGGCTGAATCCTCCACACCACTACAAATGGGTTGAGCTGCAGAACGTGCCTTGGGAAAGAAATCCAGGACTATCCAGTACCAACAAAAAACAGATTTCCTCCAGAAATTAGGGGCAGGAAATCTCTGTCCCTTGGGCAACTTCTTGTACAACAGCTGGTCTGGCTCCCCTTGGCATGGTCCTGCTGCTGGGTTGGCCCCAGCCTCTGGTGAGCCCACTGGGGCTGGCCCAGCAGCCTCCCAGCCTCCCCTGCTCCCCAACCTGCCAGCAGATGTCTTTTTTCAGAGCTCACCATGCACAAAGGCTGATCTGTGCTCAGACACGTGGCACAGGAATGGGCTCCTGGGTGCTTGAGAGGTTTTGGGGCTGGGAGGAGTTGAATCAATCTATATCTGCTCCCTGGCCCCAAATGGGAGGGATGTTTCCACTGACTTCATTGCCTTCAGTCCAGGATCTGAGCAGGCTGATTTTTAAATGCATCTGGGATAAGTTTTTATTTTAAATGCATCCTTGGATAAGGTTTTGCCAGCAGGAGCAATTCCTGAGGTAAATGAAGCCTTTTTCCAGCTTGTGATGCCACCTCCTACTCCCAATCCCACTGACAGCATTTTGACAAACAAGCAAGCACTGATAGAACCCTGCAATTCAACCTGAATTCAACATGTGAAGAAATTATTGTGGGCTCAGCTCTGGGCTCAGCTCTGGGCTCAGCCCTAGCCCAGAAACCCTCCATGGCTCTCTTTCCAGACCACTCTTCATGGCCTTCTCAGAACTCTCTTCAACAGGTCCATGTCTGTCTCAGGTAGAGCCCCCAGAGCTGGACACTGCCAGAAATGACGGTTTTTGCCCCACAGAAAATGGTCAGAGCACACCTTGTGCAATCAACTTCTCCTTTCCAGTGCAGGACCACATCCAGGTGTGAATTATTGGTAATTCCTGGCGTGTGCCCACCTCCAAACCGTGCCAAGGAACAGAGGAGAAAACAGTTCATTTTCTGGCAGCACATTTGAGCAGCCACTGACTTCTGAGCCTCACGTGATTTTATTTACTTGTGTAGGCGCAGCCTCAGTATCCTGGCCTGTTTTATCTCCCCAGCACACCCTGGAGCTGGGCTGTGCTCAGGTGATCCCTTTCACCCCACAGGATTGGGAAGAGCTCCAGGTGAGCGGGTGGAATGTTGGAATGTGACCCCTTTTCTCTTTATGTAGGAAGATCCGGGCATGCAGGGGGTTGCACTGGTTTGTGTGAGATTGCCAGGAATGTGAGGGACACCCTGGATCCAAGAGTGGCTGTGGTGCCTCAGCTTCCCCAAGCAGGAGCCCACACAGCCCCATCCTGCTCCTGACTGCGCATCACAGGGACGTTTTTAGGGCAGGAGAGGAGGATTTGTCTCTCTCTGCCAAACAAACACTGGCCTGTTGCCTGGGAACAGCAAACAAATCCTGCTGAGGGAATCCATGCCATGCTTTGATGGACTGAAATCCCCAGTTATGCAGGAGGGTTGTGCTTGCTGACAGAGCTGGCACGAGGGTAGAGCTCTGTCCTGGCTCTGTGTGGCTGCAGAGATCCCAAATAAACATCTCAAAATGTCTGGATGATTTTTGCCTCTCCTTTAGGTATATGTCTGCTGAGGTAATACTAAAGAACCCCTGTTTATAGCTTTCTGATCTCTATCAGGTACAGGCAGCTGGAGTTCAAGGCTCAATCAAGAATTTCCCACCAACATCCTCTTCTTCATTTGGCTTTCACCTGCCCATGAGAGGATGCTGGAACTGGATGATCTTTAAGGTCCCTTCCAATCCAAACCATTCTGGGATTCTGTGATGATTTTATGATTCTTCCTCCTCCCCAAGGTTACAGGATACTCCAGCTAGGGTTGGATTAATCTGAGCAGCATTCCCTGTGATACACTTACACCAAAGCAGCTCATGCTGCTGTTCATGCAACTCCCTGTCACCCTGATTTTTTAAGATTTTCTGAGCCTTCTGATGTTTACATTCTTGTAATGAACTTTCTCACACACTTTATGTAAATAACTCATTGTTTTGCATTCTTTTATGGAGGAGGAGAAATCTGATGGGCTGTTGGTTTGTCCTGTGTCATTGGAGAGGTAGCACTTTCACCCTTCAATCCACTGCCACTTTTGGAAATCTATAAATGTTAGAGTTAGAAAATAAACTTCCCTTTTTTACCTTAAAAACATCAGTGTGTCCACATCGTGTTGTTTTGTGTCATATAGTGACAACTCCCCATGAGCTGAGCTGGCTGCTTTGCCCCAGGTGCGTTCAGGGGTAAAGAAACCACATCAAGAAGGAGTTTTATAAAGTCTGGAAGTGCCATTCATCCATCCTATCCTTGGTGCTTTCTCTCTCCTCCCTCTCTGTGAGACTGGAAAGGAATTCAGTTCATCTTATCCATTGGACAGAAATAATGATGGAATTTAGTTTCTTTTTTTTTTTTTTTGGTTGTTGCTGGGTTGTGATTTGGGTTTTGTTTAAGGTTATTTCCATCCAGATCAGCAAACAAGGGAACACACAGCAGTGGGACTGTGGGACCATGCCTGTGAGGGACAGACCAGTGCCAGAGGGACAATATTCCCTATAAACTGAGCTTTTCCACCTTTCCTGGTGCACTGGCCAGTAGGTCTGAAGCATATCAGGTCAGGATGCCGAGTGATTATGAGAGAAACGTGCAAGGTGATCTGCAAGAACCCACTCCTCACTTTCCTGGAAAACCAGGCTGTAACCAGGATGGCTGAGCAGTCCCAGATGAGGGGCAGGAACAATGAACCTTGTGGATGAATGTGAGAAACAAACTGTTTGCTTTGGAGAGGTGCCTTGATCCCAAGCCCTTCCCGTGCTGCCCTCATTTGTCCGCGTGCGTCAGAGGCATGGGCTGGACATGGGCTGGAATTTGCCTCTGGATTCAGCCCTGTCCCTCTTTTCAGAATCAATTCCCAATCCAACAGCCTGCTCTGGGTTATCTGGCTCTCCTGAGAGCTCTCCTCATCCAACTGCAGGGGATCTCCAGGGGATCACAGGCATCACTGGAGTCCCAGTGGTGACTCAAGGAGAGCAACTGGGTTGCTCATCAGTGAATGGAGACTCTTGGATGAATTGAGGCTCTTGGATGAATGAATTGTCATCCCTCTGGCAGTGGGGCCTGATCCTGCTGAGGTCAGAGGGAATTTTCCTGTTTGATTCATCAGAACAAGAATTTCATCTCCCAGAGAGGACTTTTCCCTGGCTCTGTCTGACCAGTGCCTCAGCTGGTTGGCATAGCTCTCTGATTACATCATTGTTTCCTTGCTTTCACAGAAATGATTGACCCAGAGAGAAATATTTTACCTGGAAAGGGAGACCAGGAGCTGACAAAGGCAGGGAAGTGTCAGAATTTTGTGTTGAAAAGACACAGAAGGGCTGAGAGGGGATTTGGACAGAAAATTAATTTAGGCAGAGGGAGCTCGTAGGAAGAAAGCTGTGAGGGACAAAAAGACTGATTTCCTTAGGGCTGGATGACCAAAAGAGAAAGGAGTTGCAGTCTGGAGAGGGTAGCCAGTCAGGACACAGATTTCAGATCCCCTCCCCACCATGTTTAAAATAAGTAAATCTGGGATTTAGGGAAAAAAAATCGTTCACTGTGAGGGTGGAGAGGCCCTGGCACAGGGTGCCCAGAGAAGCTGTGGCTGCCCCAGGATCCCTGGAAGTGTCCAAGGCCAGGCTTGGAGCAACCTGGGATAGTGGAAGGTGTCCGTGCCCATGGCAATGAGATGATCTTTAATGTCCCTTCCAACCCAATCCATTCTGGGATTCCATGACTGCCTTGAGAACCTGACACAGCCTGGAAAAGAGAAGTGGATGGGGCTGGGTCTTGCCTGAGAAGCACAGACCACACTTCCCTTTATGTCAAACCAGGTGCCTTTTGCACCAAAAGTGATGCCAAAACGACTTTCCCCATTGCAGCTGTTTTGTCTGGGAAGGGAAATAAAGGCACAGAGTCCCCCTGGTGTTCTGGGGAGGTGAGGAATGCTGTGGCCACTCCTGCTCAGTGCCATCCTACCACTGGAAGCATTGCTGACTCACAGGTGGGCACTTGCTGCTTTGTTAAACCTCAGGTTTATTTGTTTTAGGTAAGCAGAAAGGCAATTTTTCACCTGGGCATGTCAGATAACAATAAGAGTCCCCAAAGGACCACAGATATGAGTGGCCCCAGTTTTTGCTTGTCACACAGTGTTTCCTAAAAAATTACAGCAAAACCAAAGTGTTCAGGAGTCCATGAGTGAATCCACAGCCACGGAAACCACAAAATCTCCTTCCCAGCAGCTGCTCGTGCTGTGCCAGTGGAGCCTGCAGCTCTCCATGTGCTGCAGGGGCTCTTCTGGAAACCTTCAGCTCTCTGCGGTGGCAGGTGACAGATTTTTGCAGCAGAGAATGACGGGTTCAAAGCAGAACTGAGCCAGGTATTCCCCAGAAGCACAGCTTCCCACTCGGCACAGGCCCCCTCCCTGGTTACAGCTGTCTGGTCCATGGGCATCTCCTGGGCAAGGGAGCAGCAAATTCATGGACAAAATTAGTGGGGTTCCTTTTTCCCATGTTCCCAGCCAGCCAAGCCAGCACTGGGAGCACACAGAGAGCCTGGGCACCTCGAGCACACCCAGGATCCCCATCCCAGGGACAGATATCTGTTAGAAATCCCAAGCTGCTGAGCCAACCTCCCTCAAGGAATGTTTTATCACGGGGTTGTTTTTTCAGGATGTTGGCAAAGGCTGTGCATGGGAGGTCGGAGGGGCTGTCCTCCCCCTGCCAAGGAGGGCAACTGCAGCCTGAGAAAAGGCAGGAACATTTTCCTAGAGCACAGGGCTTCTCCTAACTCAGTGTGTGCCCCATTTTCACAGCCTCCTCCCTGCTCATTTTTTTGTATTTCCCCAAGGGATTAAATAATGAATTTTCCCAAAGTACCTCACCCACTCTCTCACCCAAAAAAACCTTTCCTCAGTACCTATGACACAGTAAAGAAAGATTATCCCTGTTCCCAGATATCCTGTTCACCACCCCAGGCCTTCCTGGTCTTACCGTGCTGGGTCAGGGAGATGAATATGAAAACAAGCACAAGGATCCCCATTCCTTTGGCTCTGCTGGAAAATCCCAGGGCTGGGAGTGACATTTCACAGAAGCCTCTGTGTGCTGCTGGCATGCTGGATGGCATCCTGGAAGAGGGGAGGAGTAGGCAGGAGTTAATTATATTCCAGTCCCTGGAGTAACATTTGCTGCTGAGAAACCCTTTTGTCGTTCTGACCCAGCTCTCCTGCTCCAAACAATGTTGACTTTTTTCACATTCACTGGTTACTGGCTTTCCTGATTCCTCTCCTTGGCAGCTGGTAGAATTCCAGCAGGAAAAAAAGAAGCTCAGGGAGATCCTCTGCTCTTTACCTGGAGCAAAATCCCTTGGAAGTGACAGGGAGGAGGGAAGTAACCTGCAAGGAAAGAGTTCTGAGGATCTGCAAGGAGAAGAGGGATGCAGGCTGGGAGTGATTAATTTTTAATCTGAGCTCGTGTGAATATTTTCTCCAGCTGAAACCTGGGTGTTTTTTTTTTTTTTTCCCAGCTTTGGCTTCCAAGGAATTTGGGAGGCTTCATTCCTGAGTGTGATGAGCACACAGTGCTGGTGGAAGAGCTGTTAGTTCATCAGTGCCCCTCATGGAGGTAAATCTGTGGTGGGTGTGCAGCTTTGGCTGTAAAATGTGATGTTCCAGCTGCCCTGCCTGGCCCTGCTGTTTGCTGTCCCTTCAGCTGTGGCAATAAAACTGCCCTGTGAACACATCTTCAACTGACAGGCTAAAGAGTAAAATTAAAAGCCCCTTTCTACCTAAAAAAATACCCAAACAGAACAACATAACTGAAATCATAGAGTCATTTAGGTTTTGGAAAAGGCCTCCAAGATCATCGAGTCCAACCATTCCCCAGCTCTCCCAAGCCACCAGTAAATCATGTCCCCAAATGCCACATCTGTCTGTTTTAAGTCCTTCAGAGATGGAGACTCCATCACTGCCTTGGACACCCTGTTTTAATGCCTGACCACCTTTTCCATGCAGAAATTCCTCCTGATGTCCAACCTGACCCTCTCCTGTCACAGTTTGATGCTGTTCCCTCTCCTCCTGTCCCTGTTCCCTGGGAGCAGAGCCCAACCCCCCTGGCTGTCCCTTCCTGTCAGGGAGTTGTGCAGAGCCACAAGGTCCCCCCTGAGCCTCCTTTTCTCCAGGCTGAGCCCCTTTCCGAGCTCCCTCAGCTGCTCCCTGAAGTGTCCAAGGATATGGAACACAGTGCTCTGGGCGGGGTGACAAGGTGAGGATCAGTCACAGGTTGGACTCGATGACCTTGAGATCTTTTCCAACCTCAATGACTCTGTGATTAAGTGTCCTCAGTCTTCTAAAGCATCCAAGTGTAAAATCAAACATGGTAAATAAGATTAGGCTGGTAAGAAGGATTAAGGGATGGGGTTTCCAAGGTTACAACAGCAAATTTTTGTGCAATTCTGCATGTGGATGTAAGGGAGAGACATTTTGCCTCTTTTCATAAATAAGTGACTGTTAAACCTGTTTATTTAGCATTTATTGCCTTCTTTCTATAAAGACACATCACCTCTATTTAATTACACACTTTGCATGTTGAGAACAGCAGGCACGTCTACAGCACTTGGAATAAAATTTGTTTGCTTTCTTGGCTGTTCCTTCCCATGGTTTTCTGCAGTCCCACGAGGTCCTTGTCACGCTTCTGTGCAGCACTTCCATCCCCTGCGAGGGCAGAGCCCCTCCTGCTCCTGCAGACATCTGATTTCTGGGGGCACACAATGGCCCCCCTCATCCTGGCAGATATGGAAGTTGGACGTGGTGTCTGCAATTCAGAGGGGTCGAGTCAAACCAGGAAACCTGACATGGGCATCCAAACCATCTCATACACAAAAATTGTTGGGAGGTTGTTTACTGAGCCTCCAAAAGCAAAGACACAAAGAGGAACCTCAGGGCTTATCACAGCACTTCTGTAAAAGAAGGAATTTGTGACCCACCAGCTTGGAAAAGAATTAACTGAGGGAGGGATATTGTAAAGCTATGAAGAAGATGGATGCAGAATGAGTACATTTCAAGTAGGTGGTACTTAATAAAATTGTGAAGGATGAGGTTTTAAAAGAAATGGAAGGAATTCCTAACCTGGGGAGAAAAATCCAGTAAGGACTTTTAAACACAAGGATGCTTGAATCTAAAAATCCTGAGCTGCAATTTCACAAAATCCAGGATAATATAAATATAATATAATATAATATAATATAATATAATATAATATAATATAATATAATATAATAATATAACATAACATAACATAACATAACATAACATAACATAACATAATGATGTGGTTGTGGTCACTTTACACACATAGAGTAACTGCAAGGAAATATCCACTTGTGGCCAGGATGCTGGATCAGGAATCTTGATGAGGAACTTCAGGATTAGCACAGTTGTTTCTAAAGTATATATTCATGGATGATTTATGTTGAGGATTATCTATTGAGGAGCACAAAAAACAAGCAATTCTGGGAAGATTCAGATAAAATAACACGGTCAGTTGGCATCTGTTAAGCACAGCAGGGTGGGTGCAGCCAGCAGTCCCCCAGCAGATAATCATAGGAAGATTTACCAGGGAAAGAGAACTCTCTATGGGCCAAAACTTTTATTTTATCTCCCCAGTTGGACATAGAGCTTTGGCTTATTTTGACCAGCCCCAAAGGCTCCACACTGGGTCAGTGGAGGAACACACAGGTCCCTCTTTGTACATGGAAAGAGATGGCTTAGACCCACACCTGGAAGTGTCCAGGGCCGGGTTGGATGGGGCTTGGAGCAACCTGGGACAGTGGAAGGTGTCCCTGCCATGGCAGGGGGTGGAATGAAATTAACTTTGAACTTCCTTCCGAACCAACCCATTCTGTGATTCTGTGATTTGGAGGCAAAGTCTGTTTGGCTGAGTTCAGCCATTTTCCCCCAAAATTAATTAATTTCCCTCCTGTACAGGTTCCCACACGTACCAACACAGCAGGTCCTGCGGCGCCGATAGCAGGTCCCAAAGGCAGCGAAGGGCTCCGGGCAGGATTTCAGGTGGAAGCAGTAGCCGTGGTATTCCAGACAACGGGAGGTGTCCCTGGGCAAGCCGAGACCTACAGGGGTGTAAGAGCCTAAATGAGGGATATGGGATTCCAGGAGCTCTCCAAAATGCAGTTTATTCTATTCCAAGAGGTTACAGCAGCCCAGAGTTGTGGGTGACAGAGCTTTGCCTTCCGGTTTTCGGTTCCGGTTGCGGGCGGGCTTGGGGCCCTTTTGTTTTTGTTTGCTTTCTTTATTTTTTTTTGTTTGGTGTCTTTATAGTGTAGCGGCTCTCTATCTTTTACTTTTTCCTTTTGGCCTTTCTTACTTCTTTTATTTCCCTTTTTCTTTTTCTTTTTTTTCATTCCTTAATTTTTTTTGTTTTAGTTTTTGCTCTAGGTTTTTTTTTGGTTTTTTTTGCGTTGGAAATTTTTGGGCCTTTTTTTTTCTTGGCACCTTTTGTTGCTTTTTTTGCTTTTGTTTTTTTTTTGTTTGTTAAAATTTTTTTTTTTTTTGGGTTGGTTTTTTCTTTTGTTTTAGTTCTTGAAACCCCTTCTAACTAATATACCTTTTGCCTCCTTTGTTATCCAGTAAGACTCAGCAATTCTTTTCTTCTTTATCAAAACTTGCTTCCATCTCTATTCCTTCTTGAGATTCTACATTCAAAAATCTTTCTGCCAAGCATACATATCTGTGAGACTTTCTTGTCAAACTTTCATCCTTCCCAACACAGGGGGAATGGGATTCCCAGTTGTGCTGCGGGATCAGTCCATTCTCATCTCCATTCCTCCTGCTGAAACCCCACATAGCCAGTTAGGGATCTGACACAAATATCCCCAAAACCCATAAGTTTGGAGGAACTCATGGGACCTCAGAGCATTCAAAGGAAGGTTTTTTGTGCAACTGGAGTGAAACATAGAGTTTGATGGCAATTTTCTGAACATATCCTGGCAATTTGTGCTATAATGGGAAGGGACAGCCCTGTCTTGGATGCTTTTGAGTTCTGGGACTGCAGTGCTGCAGGGACATGCAAGGGACAACATGGTCACCACATGCCCTGGATATAAAATTATGACTTTTAAAAACCCCCAAAAGCAAGATCTGGTTCAATTAACAGGAACAAGCAGTTTGCCCAGTCCCTTCCTTCTCTGGAAGCCTTTCTGCAAGGTGAGGAGTTTCATTAAGCATGAAGAACAGGTAGGATAAAAACACAATCAGAATATGAGTCAGTGCAGCAGAAGGGCTGAGGAAGGGGAACCAGAATATTCAAACATAGTCAGTGGTGCAGTTCAACCTGAACAATACCAGGGAGCACCTGTGCTCTCTTCTACCTACACAGAGAGGACAATTTGTAACCCAGGGGTTAGAAGAGGAGGTGATTTCCATGGTGCCGCCATCCTATAGTGCCACAAAAGACATTTCAGAGAGTCATAGGACCCAACACCTGGCAGAAGCTTGTGTGGGGAGGTTCTGGTGTGACACCTGCTCACCACAGGCTAACTTTTCACTTCTGCTTTTAGATAAAGGGAGCTGCTCTAAGGAAAGGAGCTGAGGAGAACGTTCTGCACCACCACACAAATGACCTGTGCCTCCTGCACAGACAAACCGCAGCATGGGGCTTGGCCCTTACCTGGAACAGCCTGGAGGAGGAAAAGCAGGAGAGCCATGAGGCAGGAGAAGAGCTCCATGGTGGAAGGTCTCAGCTGCAGCCTGGAGACAGGGGCACAATGCCAGAACCTTTGGGCAGGGGAGGAAGGAACACTCTGGCATTTATAGGGCAGTGGGAACAGCTGGGGCTGACTGGGCAACCTTGGCAGGGGAAGGCAGCAGGTACAACCTGACCTCTGCACGTGGCTAAACCTGAACAATGGCTCAGGGGCACAAAAACAAAGGGACAAATAGCTGTGCCTGCCTGCCTGACCACTGGGAAGGCCCCTTATCAATGTGGGTCCACCCAGAGAGCATCATTAACTTGAAATGTCAATGTGGTTGGTAATGGATTGTCTGGAGGAAATCAGTCATTTGTGGAAGAGAAGGCAGCTGGAATATCATAGAATCATCATGGAATCATAGAATAGTTTGGGTTGGAAAGGAAATTAGAGATCATCCAGTCCAACGCCCTGCCATGGGCAGGGACATCTTTCACTAGCCCACGTCTCTCCAAGCCTGTCCAACCTGGCCTTGGACACTTCCAGGGACAGCCAAAGCTTCTCTGGCAACAGAGAATATCTGATCCTACTGCTTGGTCTGTGATGCAACAGCTGTTCCCAAGATAAAGAAATAAATTATAATGATCATTTTTGTGTGCATTTTAAATGTACACAAACATATAGAATCATTGGGTATTTTTTCCTGTGAAAGGTTCTGTGAAGAAAAACAAAGTGGACAGTGCTCCTGTCCATGCCAGGGGTTTGGAATGAGATGATTTTTCTGATTCCTTTCATCCCAAACCCTTCTGCCACTCCATGTTTCTATGATACATGAAGTGCAGATTATCAGTTTTCAGGTGTCACCAGCAGCACCTTCAACTTTGCAGGTGCACAAAGAGCAAGTGACAAGTGAGATCAATGAGTTTTCCTCAGCATTTGTCTCTACAGAGCTTGAATGATATCAACAGACACATGGAGGTGGCATCTGACAGCTCAGGCTCTCCCTCCACCATTTACTTCAGCCTCTTTCTGTACAAGGTATTTTTTGATGTTGTTCTGACCCAGCAGCCTTGATATCAACAATAAAACCTCCTCCTCAGTCATATGCATTGTTCTCTGACTGCCTCCCTGCTTTCTTTGTTTGCTCTCCATTGCAAATTCGCAGGTGCCATCCAGTCCTAAAGGAGAGGTGTTTGTGTCCATTTCCAGGTATTCCAGGGACAGGGATGAAACAAAGGCTGCAACAAGAGCCCTTCAGCTAGCTCAGGTTCCCTCTGAATCCAAGGATATCCTAGCTGAGATATTCATCTCAGCTCTGTGACAGGATCTGTTGTTGTTCTTTGTCAGACTGGAGCAGACACTCAGCCTTTTCAACAATTATTCTTTAAATCATTAAAAAATGGTCTTATTCTGTTCTGATGGCCTAGAAATGTTTGCCTTTTAAAATTTTATTTCCATGGGAGATGAAGTACAAATTTAAAACCTTAAGTGTGTTAGCAATAGTGGAAGAGGAGTGATAGCCCAGTAATTTCACATTTAAAATCCTTCCTAATCATTTCCAGCATGTCCTCACTATCAGACCAAAAGTGCTTATACAATCCCCTTCAAATTAGGATCAGAAATTATCCCAAAAAAACCCCCCAACTCTGAAATTCAAGGACCATCTCAGTCTGCCTTGATGCCTCTGCACTTTGTTTGCTCTTTTTTGTTCTCCTCCTTTCCCGGGTTATTTTCCCAGGTTATTCCAGGTCAGAAACATGTTTTATATGGATCACAAAAGAAATGCTCACACACAGTGGAAGTTCTGTCCCTTGCCTAGGATCTCTTGTGAGAAGCAGCTGAGGGAGCTGAAAAAGGGGCTCAGCCTGGAGAAAAGGAGGCTCAGGCGGGACCTTGTGGCTCTGCACAACTCCCTGACAGGAGGGGACAACCAGGGGTGGGTAGGGATCTTCTCCCAAGAAACAAGGGACAGAGCACCTCAAATTGCACCAGGGGAGGTTTAGATTGGAAATTAGGAACAATCCCTTCACAGAAAGCTCTGTCCAGCCCTGGCGCAGCTGCCCAGGGCACTGGTGGAGTCCCCATCCCTGGAGGGTTTTGCTGATCTGGCCTGGGACTCACATCCCTTTGAGTAAAGGAGTTTTTATGAGAAGGGAAGACTTATTCATTTTGAAGTTTTCAGTCATGGAACAGCTCTGAAAATAGTACCTGGGATGCTAAATTTATGGGAAACATCTGCTTTCCCAGAGCACTTAACCAGATTTGTGTTATGGCAATGTAAAGCAGCAGGATTTGACTGCAGTTGGGCTGAAGTGGTCCTGGAACTGGCTGAAAACCTGACTTTATTTACAACATTGTGAGGAGCAAGTGACAGATTGGAATGGATGAGAAGTGCCACTGGGGGTGGTCAGCAGGGAAAAATATGGAGGAAAAAATCTCATAGCAAACATTGGGGTTGAATAGGCAAAAAACTTTGTGTTGTGGAGGAAAAAACATTTTATTCCCAGGAAGGAAACAAGCTGAATTTCCAGTCTGATGTTGGGATGGAGGATTCGCAGTGAACAAAATTAATCTCCAGCCTGATTTACAGCTCATGGAGCCCATGAGCTGGTTCCTGGCTCCCTCTTGTGGGAAAAGGTGCTGGAGGAGGAAGGGACCTCGTGGTGCAGAATTTGCTCAGGTGGAAAGGTAAAAGCAAGAGGAAATGCCTCTTTGCTCCGTCCTCAGCACTGGTAATTCACAGAGTAAATGCATGGTGATTATTAATATGTTTGGACAGCAGGGATGGGATTTGGTTCCAGGCACCAGATTTTACAGAGGAATTGAATTTTTGGAGGGAGTCACATTCAGGGTAAGTGTTTAACTACGAAGTTAATGTTTCCTAACTTAATATAATTTTATGGCATTTCTATAACTTTAAAAATCTCTGTAACTGTAGCAATACTGACAGTTCTGCTCTTAGCAGGATTAGGCTGAGCCAGGGAGGAGTTTCCTGGTGCTTTGTCCATTGCACTGCTGCCCCAGCCCCTGCCTGTATTGCCCCCCTCCAGACCCTGGTACCCAGCAGGCTGTCTCCAGCATGTCTCCATGGGGTGGGAATGAAGCTGGGAATGGAGTTGGAGAGGGTTCAGGAAGGCTTCACCTCCTGACTGATACTCTTGTCCATGGCAGCCTTGCCCTCAGCACCCATGGGGAAAGGACTGGGCAACTGCAGTGGTGGGACTGGGGACAAGGGAGCATCCTGCGCTCCTTGCAGGAGCTCCAGGTGCCTCTCCCAGCCAGCACAGAGCTGTGACTGGCCTGAGCCCATGGGTGCTCCACTCTACCAAAACCATTTCTGAGTCCATAGCCAAAACCATTTCTGAGTCCACAGCCAAAACCCACCTTGGGCTGTCCTGTGTTCCCCCCCAAGCCACCATCTGTCACAGACATCTTTTCTTGAAAATCCTTTCGTTAGGCTTTTCTCCTTTTGAGAAGCTGAGAGGCTTCAGGAACAAAATGTAAATAATAGTTATCTGTTGCTGTAGAAGTCAACAGAAAGATCTTTGATTGGCCCATCTTAGATGTTTATAATTAATGGCTAATCACAGCTCAGCTAGCTCAGACAGAGAGTCTGAAGCAGCTGCCTTTGTTATCATTCTTTCTATTATATTCTTGGCTTAGCCAGCCTTCTGAGATGAAACCTTTTCTTCTATTCTTTCAGTATAGTTTTAATGTAATATATATCATAAAATAATAAATCAAGCCTTCTGAAATATAGAGTCAGATCTCCATTTCTTCCCTCATCCTAAGACCCCTGTGAAGACCATCACAACCATCCTCCCTTGGAACATCCCTGAGCCTGGTTCCTGCCCTCACTGACCCTGTAGTTCCCCTCATCCCACCCCACATGTCCATCCTGCAGCCTGGGCTGGTCTCTGCAGCTGCCCTCCCCTCAGGCTGCCCCTCCACAGCCGCAGCCCTGCTCCCAGGGTGCAGGGACACCCCAGGGTGGTCCCCATGGAGAGGACATTCCCAGGGGGCAATCCCAGGCCCCAGGACCTCTTCACCCCGACCTCGTGGCGCAAGGGTAGCGCGTCTGACTCCAGATCAGAAGGTTGTGTGTTCAAATCACACCGGGGTCAGTCTGGGCCACCACTGGTACCTCTCTGCTTTTCTGGGGGGCTGTACTGTGGGAGGGTATCTTAGCCTGGGGGTGTATATTCTATTTCCGTCTCTTAGAGGTGGGACAGTTTCTTCTGTTCATTGGGAAGTTTTCTTTATCTCTTCCACAACTAATCCTCCCTTCAGTAGATATCTTCTGTCAATGGGCCAGTGAGTGTCCCTGCATGGCTGATAAAATTACATCATCCCATTGGGAGATGCTCTGCCCAGAGGGAGGAGCCAAGCATTCCTACCTGGATATAATCCGAGGTTTGGAACACCACAGGCAGCCTTTTGCAGTGGATTCCCAGAGGAGCAGCTTACTTCTTCTCTGCATTCCCAGAGGAAGACTAGGCCCATCTACAGCACCATTGGACCTTCAGAGGAAAACTCCACCCTCCTGCAGGATCCCTGCTCCAAAAGAGCCACAGCTTGCACTGCTGGAGGGCTGCAACCACCATTTAGTGGGACTGCTGCCGAAACCCTGACCCACAGGGGGTCAGAGCATATTCTGACTTTGACAGTGGTTTGTTTTCTTTTTGTACTATTGCATTTGTATTTTTAATTTTCCTAGTAAAGAACTGTTACTGCTCTTCCCATATCTTTGCCTGAGAGCCCCTTAATTTCAAAATTATGATAATTCAGAGGGAGGGGATTTGCATTTTCCATTTCAAGGAAGGCTCCTGCCTTCTTTAGCAGACACCTGTCTGTTCAAACCCAGACAGAGGGGCAGGACTCAGGGTGTAGGGACATGGACTAGACTATATAGGGAACATGATGCCCAGAGCTCTCTTATGAGCAGGGAGCTGTGCTGGATGGAAATTATGGGTCAGGATGCAAGCAGGGATGTTGCATTGTGGTGTGTGTCTGCCATAATTTACCTCAAGAAGGAGTTA